TTGGGTTGCAACGTGCAGAAAGACTCCCTGGGGATCTGAGGTTTTCACTGAAGGGGCTTCTGCTTCAAGACTGGTCACTTCTGGTACACGGAAGCAGATTCACTCCATCCTACAATATTTACTTCAAATCCAATTATGCCTTTCATGTCAACTTGTGTCTAAAACAACTGAAAATTAAACTTCACACCTCCTCCATTCACTGTGCAGTAAAAACTATGTGACATCAGAATTACAAATCTAACCTTGAGCTGTCAGCAGACATTTCTGGCCACATTATAAAAGGTTTAAGAACTGCCTGCTTCAACTGTGATGTTTTTTTACTAACTTGTTTCAGGGTAATGTATCCTAAATTACTGCTGAGTCTTGGGGATGTTTTTGCTTCAAAATGAACCTTACACTTCCACGTCCAACATTAAAGGGTTAAATTATACGTGAACATATTGCAGGCGTGTGACTGTGAATGTGTTGGTGTGAGAAGTTGATACTTTACCCAAAGCCCAAAGATTAAAAAGTATGTTTTTATGAAGTGTGCCACTAATCAAATTAATTTCCTGAATCAACTAACGTTAACTCTCTATTCACTTCCAGCAAGTCGACGCTTAGCTCTCCAGATCCTTTTCGTTTTAACCAATCCGACGGCATCCAATCAAGTTGCAGGAGAGAATCACAACAGTTAGTTTACAGAGTGCCAGTCGGAAAAGAAAATCGGATTATTTTCTTCACAGAGTAACTAAAACGCTATTCAAGGACTTATCCATTGCTTTTCTTTTTAATTCATCTTTTTAATTAATTTAGACTTAAAACATAAAAATATCACTTTAACAGTTAAATATAACAAGACAGGGCAGAAACACAAAATAAAATGTCAGCACTATTTATTTTTTGTTCAGTCGCATTTGTTTTAACAAATGAAAACATTTTAAAGAGCATTCATGATTTTTGTAAATGTAAATCATTATTACTCGGTAGTTAAAGTGGCATTGCATTTAGTGAAGAGTGCATTATGACTGGTTTAGGACTCAGCACTCAAAGTTTAGATTTTGAGAGTTTGCTTGACAATTATGGAGCTAAATCCAGGTCAAAAGTTTTGTTCATTTGAAAAGAAAATGTGAACCTGAAAGTTCAAGTTGTGGTCTTGAACATTGAAAAATACAGCAATGTATTCAAAATATAAATAAGTGAATGAAAAGGTTTTTGGCTTGAATATAATTTTGATTGGGTTCTGGAATTTTTTTGAATACATTTTTTTTTTTTTCATTTTTCACTTTCATATATATTTAGATTTTTGAGTTCTTATATTTTTCAGTTTCAGATTTCACCCCAGTTTAATCTGCTGGTGTAGTTGCCATTCAACCCAAAACAACTTTTCATTCACTTATTTTTTATTTTGAATACATTCACTTTTTTTTTCAAATGAACAAAACTTTTGACCTGGATTTAGCTCTATTACAATGAGGTCCCACCTCTGGTAAGAACTGCTGGCAGCAGTAACTGAACTGTGCTGCATTTGTGTGTGGGCTGTGTTGGGATTATGAATGGGAACTTTGTGCTGTCTGCTCCATTTTAACAGAGAAAGTTGTTTTTTGTGATTTCAAGTAACATCTGCAACCTTTCACCAAATACAATTGTAAGGACGTACAGCACTTCAGAGGCTTTTGGAATAAAACTGGAGTCAGACATTTCTTTTCTTGCATAAAAACTTTGGAACTTCATGTTGCATATTTAAGCTCCACCCACCCGGTACTCTCTTGTTGCGAAATCGAGCGTACCCGATAGGCGTGACTTTCACTTTCACGTTTTTATCTTTCTGCTTTAGAAATCTGCAAATTGTCTCCACATATTTACAAGAGGGAAGTTCAGTAAGACTGTCCCGAAGATATCCGTCCTCAGAGGTAGGCATTCTTCTGCTGTGCGTCTATTTAAATAGTCTGTTTATCGATACTAAGTCGGCCCACAACACTGCGCAACCTGTATTAATGCTGGATATGTTGATGTCGCAGTGGGTTTGAATTTGTACAATAAATTTACTGGAATATCGTGATACCATAACAAAAGAAATAAAGAAGAAGTTACGTTAATAAATAAAATAAATGAACATCAGACTGTTGTCATCTTAATCTGTAATTTCCCGTCAGAGATTCGATTTATAGTCTCATCAGTAACATTAAGCGAACAGCTGTCCAGATCTATTTAAATAGGCTAAACAGTTTCATAATGAACACTTACAGCTAAAAGAATCAATGCGCAGACTGAACCAGGAAGGGCGGAGCAGAGAGGTACAGCGGTAGTAGAATGTATTATTATTATTATTATTAATTATAATAATTAATTATTATTTTTTAACTTTGGTGATCTGTGCAGTGAATTTATAAAATGTATCGTTGGGATTTTATGTTCTTATGTTCAGTCCTGTGGTCAGCATGTTTAACCGTAATTCCTATATGTTTTGGTGGCATTTATATACAAATATGTATATTACATATATGTATATGTATAATGTACAAATAATGTTTATTAGTTTTCATAAACACGTATTTTGCTTGCTGAATGTCCAGACTGTACAGTACATTACCATCCATCTCTGCAGCATGAAGTCCTCAGGTGTCCTTGTTGATTGTTGTACAGGTATGATGGTGAACTGCTGTGGTCTGCTAACCTCCCAGAAGGAACCAGGTAGAAAACAAACCTCCATAACTTTTTTGTACTTGTGTAAACTTCAAATGCAAAGGTATTTTTATATGTATATGTCACACTATTAAACATCTTGGTTGACAGGTCCACCTCTAGTGTAGCCGAAATGCAACAATTCAGTGAAGAGTAAACCTCAACAATGTAGGAAAACATGTTGCGTTCATTGCGTTTCCTTCTGTTTGTCGGTCAGTTCCTCTGAAGAGCGTGGAGGTGGAGCTGGAGGTGAGGGACCATGTGGCTACAGTGGTCTCCACTCTGAACTATGAGAACAAGGAGGACAAACCACTAGAGGCTGTTTTTGTCTTCCCTCTGCCTGGAGATGCTGCTGTCTGTCATTTCAGTGCTAAGATTGGACAGACACACATTGTAGCTGAGGTGAAGGAGAAACAGGAGGTGAGCTGGACACTAAAGAGTTACTGACGGAGGAGCTTTAAAACACAGCAAACGTTGCTCACATGTGTCATCTGTGTTTCAGGCTCGTGAGGAGTATGACGATGCTTTGAGCTCCGGTCAGCAGGCCTTCCTGCTGGAGGAGAGTGAGCAGAGTCCAGATATATTCTCTCTGAGTGTGGGCAGTCTGCCTCCAGGAGAGAGCGCCTCCATCAGGCTGGAGTACGTCATTGAGCTGGCTGTGCAGGCTGATGAAGGGCTGAGGTTTTGTCTGCCTGCTGTGCTCAACCCTCGCTACGAACCTCAGGGTAGGAAAACCAGCCAACACCTTCATCAGGAGCCCCTAAGCTTCAACTTAGTGCACACCACATTCTAATGCACCTCATGACATTATTTGCACATTTACTTGAGAATAAGCTTTATTGATGTATCTTTTGGATGGACACTTTATTCTGTATTTTTGTTCCTTATTTAGAATCACAAAAAGTCTTCAATATTATTTTGATTGCACTTTCACTGATCTAGTCTCCCTGTGTCATAGTTACAACTGGACCAAAGGACTTCAGTTTGTAACACCTCTTTGATTACATCATTTCAAACTTGTCTCATGTTAGGTAGTGAAGGTGGCAACGTTCAGGTGACCTCTGTTCCAGCCTCTCTGGTGCCCTACAGTCTGTCTTTCTCTGCCCGAGTGTCCTCTCCTCGTCCCGTCTCTAAAGTAGAGTCCAACTGTCCCCTGGACCCTCTCCAGCACCTCAACACAGAGCAAACCCAGGTGGCGGTAGGTAGAGTTCTAGTGATGATTGTTTCTTGTCACTGAGAAAAAGATATATCACAATATTTACATGTATCAGTGTGTTTTGTGAACTGCAGGTCAAGTTGGCTGCAGGACACAAGTTTGACAGAGATGTTGAACTGCTGATTTATTACAATGATGCCCACCAGCCCACTGCTGTGGTGGAGGCAGGACAGGCCTCCTCCAAGCCTGGTGAGGGACTGTTAGAGAAGGTGTTTGCAAATAGCAAGGCCATTACATTCAAACTGATGTAATGTGTAAGTATTCGATTTGTAAATAGCTGAGTGCAGAGTTGTGTATATTTTTCTGTTTCTCCTCTGTGTTTCAGGCACTCTGATGGGTGATCCAGTAGTGATGCTGAGCCTGTACCCTGAGTTCCCCCAGGCTGTGACGTCTTCAGTCGCTTCATGTGGAGAGTTTGTCTTCTTATTGGATCGATCTGGCAGTATGAGTGGTGGACAAATAAAGAGTGCCAGGGTATTAATTATGTGTTATTTCTATCATAGAATCATTCATAGTGTCTCTCTCACCCAGTGACCTTCACCATCTTCTCTCTCCTCCCTTAAGGATACTCTGCTGCTCCTGTTGAAGAGCGTACCACTAGGCTGCTATTTCAACATCTACAGTTTTGGGTCCAGCTATGAACACATCTTCCCGTAAGTCACTCCCTCAGGTCACTCAGTCCACCAAAAGTGTGCTTTGAAATCACTGTTTGTTCATGCGTAATTGTTCATGTCAGCCCTATCGGCAGACAGATAAGTGATATTAAGTGATTCTGCAAAACCATTGATTATGTTTGATGTCAATGTTTTTAAATTTCATAATTAATTCATCCTACAGTGAAGACATGCTTAATTGGAAAGATTGTGGTTGTATTAACTAGACCAACTGTAAAATATAAAGTTTGTGTGTTTCTGGTGACAGTAAGAGTGTAGAGTACAACCAGAAGACCATGGAAGAGGCTCTGAAGAAAGTTGACAAGATGGAGGCTGATCTGGGAGGAACTGAGATCCTTGAGCCCCTCAAACACATTTACAGTCAACCCTGCATTCCCAATCAACCTAGACAAGTAACGCACACACCTACACACACACACACACACACACACACACACACACACACACACACCTGTTAAAGTATCACAGGTAATGTTATTGTGTCATTCAGTCAGAACCTCCTACTAACAGGTTCATTCTTGCAGCACCTTGTTCTTTAGAATTACCATGGAAATTGCAAATTTCCCGGGTGTGGGACTAAGACAGGATTGTCTTATCTTAGAAGCACTGATGTTACTGAAACAGCAATCTAACAAAGCTCTTAGAGAAATATTTGGATGGCTCGACATATGCTGCATGTGTTTTGGGTGTGACTTTATGTAACTTAGAGTGATGTGTAAACTCTCCTCCGTAGCTATTTGTCTTTACTGACGGAGAGGTAGGGAACACCAAAGAAGTCATCAATCTGGTGAAGCAGAACTCAGGTTCCCACAGGTGAAATAAAAAAAACACAACAAAACACCCACACAGTTCCCAGAATATGTCTCATTTTCAAACGTGTGTTAAAAACAAAACTACTGTATTGTAGGTGTTTCTCTTTTGGGATTGGGGAAGGGGCCAGCTCTGCTCTCATCAACGGGTTGGCCAAGGAAGGAGGAGGTCACGCTCAGTTCATCACAGGGACGGACAGGATGCAACCCAAAGTAAGACATCACAGCCTCCGTATCAATTTTAATGAAAAATGCAATTACGACAAATTTATAAGAACTGTAAATTTACACATTTGGTAAAAACTCAGTTCCTCTTCCAACTTTTTGTAAATTGTTTTTACTCATCAGGTGATGCAGTCGCTGCGATTTGCTCTGCAACCAGCTGTGGTGGACATCTCAGTCACGTGGGATTTGCCAAAGGGAGTTTCCGTCACTGCTCTCTCTCCACCAATCACAGCACTGTTCCAGGGTCAAAGGTCACTGGTTTATGCCCAGCTCACTGGACAGGTAGGAGCAGTAACACCTTATAGTGAAATGACTTTCTGGTTAGATTTCTCAGGTCAACTATGATGATACAAATGGTTTCTAACTCTGTGACGCTTTCTCAGAGTTCAGAGGCCTCAGAGGGCTGTGTGACGGTGAAGTACAGTCTGGCAGGTCATCCCTCTCAGAACCAGCTTCACTTCAGTCTCAGACCTGCAGAGGACACTGGGTAAAACAGCACTGTTATGTATTTGATTTAGTTTATTTAGATGAAATAAAACTGTAGCTATGGATGAGAAACAAGACACAGTTTAATAAAAGAATGTTGCACTGATACATTAAAGATCTGCTCAGTGGCTGACACACACAATGTGCAGAATGGCTTTATATGTAATAATTTAGTCAAAAAATACACTACAAGAAACAAGACATTGAATTCTTCATTTTTTCCTAAATACCTGTAGGTATACATGCAATACTTTGCAAAGCATCTGAAGTTACATGAAACATCAGGTAACTGTTCATAACATAATAGGTTTCCAACATTTCTCAAGATGGTTTCTGTTGTATTCAAATAAAATCAAGAATGCTGCATAGAAATAAATAAAACACACATTAACTTGCAAACATGCAAACCGTGATGTACAGCGATAAAAGAAACTCATAGAATCCCTGCAGCTGAGCAATATTGTTGAAGTGCTCTATACTATTTCAGTCTCAACAGTCACTGACATCTCTTTGTACTGTGCACTGCTGAACATACACGAACCCCAAAATAAATAATTAGTATGTTTATTATAAACATCTGTGTGTAGATGTGTTAACGTCTGTTCTCTGCAGATTAACAGTCCACAGGTTGGCTGCTCGGACTCTGATTCGCTCCCTGGAGATGGAGGAGAGAGAGTGTGAAGAAGAGGAAGATGGAGAAGTGAAGAAGAAGAAGGTGGTGGAGCTCAGTGTCCAATCAGGAGTGAGCAGTGCCTTCACTGCTTTCATTGCTGTCAACAAAGGCAACAGCGAAGCTATTCAAGGACCTCTGGTGCGCAGAAATGTTCCAACACCCAGTAAGTGTTTTCAAGGAAATATAAAAAACTACAGTTACGCTCTACTTACGAGATACTAGCTGACCATGAATGATAAGTTAGAGAAGCATGTTGATGTAGTGCTTTAACATTAAGAAACTCACTGATCATCTACAAATCACTGTTTTAATTTGTTTTGGAGACGAGAGCGAGCATGTGTTTAGTGCTCAGTGTGTTTGCGTGTGCACATCTGTTTGTATGGAAACTTATGAGACATTTTAACTTAACTGCTTGTTGTTAGTCATTGTAATAAGCTCAGAAAACAGTAGTTTTGTTGATATTGTTTCTTTAGTTATTGTCTTGGCTCATATCTTGACCTCATACTTTTTTTTTTTTTTTTATCTCAAAGTGATGATGGCCTGGGGTATGCCCCAGAATTTGTCCTGTTGTGCTCCTGTGAGGAATAGTAAGTAAAAATCTTCAAAGCTGAATCGGAGTGGAGCACATATCTGTCTATTTCCACACTTTTCTACACTTTTGAGATATTTTGAACAATTTTAACTGCTTGTTATTAGTCATTGTAATAAGGTCCCAAACCAGTAGTTTTGTTGATGTTTTTGGTTTAGCAATTCTCATGGCTCATATATTGACTTCATACTTTTTTAATCTCAAAGACAGGATGAACTCTAGTATACTGTGTATAAGAAGTGGACATGTTTACTGAGGTAATTAATAAAGTTAGAAATAGGGTTCTTTACAATCAAACTTATTTTTTCATCAGTGGCGTCGCCCCCTGCTGGTCATTAATAATAATGCAAGTTTAAGGCACTTCAGCATTGGCTTCAGTTTTCAGTACGGGAGATTGCCGCCTGGTCATTGAACTAATCTCAGAAACCACTAGTTTAGCAGTTAATGTTTATCTTTCATCATTATCAGGTAACGTCCTGACCTATTTCTCTTTATCTTTTTAACCTCAAAGTTAACCCTAATATCTTTGAAGACTTATCTATTACCAGCCATGGTCGTACTAAATGTAAGTATACAAGGTAACTGTGATTTTTAACACACAATTGTGTATTACTATAAATACAATACATGGATAGACGCAGAGCAAACAGCATGAACTACTGTATGTAGGAGTTCTGGCAGTCCTGGACATATGCAACATATAGTTGCCCAGGACTCTCAGCAGAATCCTCGTCACTGCTCAGATTTATGGAGAGCTCCTTCAAACAGCAAAACCTTCTTCGTTCCCTTGTTTTAAGATCCTTCTGGAGTTGTCATTGTGCCACATTAAAGAGACATGCCATTGGGGAACACGTTGCTTCATGGCAATGACCGCGGCCAGTGGACTTATTATGAAAACAACTTCTGCTGAGAGGAATAAATAATATGAAGGAATACTTCACCAAAATGCCCAATGTGGCTCTTGGTTCCTTTGATACTCATGCTAATAACAATACTAATACTACTAATAATGGTTTAGCAATACTAATGGTAATATTTATATTAATAACAATAATAATGATGAGTCACAATGGATAATAATCAGGCTGTGTGCTCTCTCAACAGCTTGCAAGAGCAGAGAGAAGGGAGGCGCCAGCCGAAATGTATTCTCCAATTTGAAGAAGAAGCTAGTTGCCTCAATGAAACCACAGAAGAATTCTCTGGAGAGTCATGGTGTTTCTCACTGCTACGCAAGCCTAAAGCCTATGTCTCTGTCCAGTGAGCGTGATGAGTCCGAGGAGTGTGATTATGATGATTGTAAGTCTTACTATTTTCCTCTACCACATCATACTGGTTTCACTATTACAGATTTTACCGTGTGATAAATGTAACAGTTCACTTTCAGGGCCTTTTGTTCTCTAAACAAACATACCCAAAAACATTTTTTACATCACCATGGGCTGTTATGCCCCAAAGAGATGCCTGGCTTACCCAACTATACAACAGCAGGTATCTGCATAGGAAATTTGATCATATTTCTAAAGCACCACATTAGATTTGTGGCAAAGACAATTAATGATTTACTTCCCCAGCAGAGCAGTGGATGGACTAGTGTTTATTATGACAGAGTTTGAATATTGTGGAAACTCAGTCATCACTGGAATCAGCAGGACGTTGAAATGAGAAATGATCTAAATAATAGTTTTATTCTGCAAATGCAGCTAGCTGGAGTCACATGAAGTTTAAATATGGGAGGGCTAATTTCGATGATTAGTTGTTGTCACAGCCTCATTAACGTTGTCGTGAACTGTAAGTTTGCTGTGTTAAAATATTAGTTACTCACATTGTTTATGATTTAATATGTAATTATTATATTTTTAAAGATATAATTAAACTAGAGACCGTTTTTGCAATGGGATCGTTTTGCATCCCTCTTATTGCCGGCACCCTTGGTCGAACCACACCCATCTTAGAACTCTGCCTTCATTTTGACCTCAACGACACACCTGTAAAGCTTTGTGACTGCATCTTGCACGGTTGCGACGTTATGGCAGTGACAAAATATGTCCGCAGACAGAAATTTAAACACTCACACACAGGCTCACTAAGTGAAAACAATACCAGTGTCGCTGACGCGGCTGTTATTGATTTAAATAGTTTATTTTCTTTGTACTCACTGGTTTCTGGTGCAGTGGTTTATACATTGAGAATTTCTGCATCTTACAATTTAAGTTCCTTCCTTGTATTTACTGTTGTTGCTTTTGTGTAATGTTCTACGTCTCTTTTTCTCTTTAAGCGATGTACATGGGAACCGGATTTAAAATTAAACCCCATCCATGTAGCTTGAGTAAGTAAGGTTATTGAAGATACACCTGCTCACAACTGTTGTGTTATTACCATGTCATTTTGTACACACATTCATGTCTCCCTCAGGATGATTTGGAATACATTTGGTGATTATCTGACTTTAAATCCAGTGCTTTCATCAGGTCGAACTTTTTATTTGTCCAATACTTTGATTAATGACGAAATACTTGCAAAACTAATGAGATCAGCCCATCGGCTCTACTTTGTGTTTATAGCTAATTAGTAGCTAGCAGGTAATGATGAAAGGTGAAAACCGATTCCAAATAAGGAGCAACAATATTATTTGAAAAGAGAAATGTGAATCAGTGTTTTCAAGTTCAGCATGTCACTTTTTAGTTCAGTAATTCACTCATATTTATTTCCTGTAATATACTGGCATCAATACGTCAGTATCAAATAGGAAAACAATAAGAAAAAAGACAAAACTAAAACGATTGCTCTAAATACATACCAGTCCAATAAACCACAGAGATTATTTTTATCTTCCCACTGTGATTTGTTTTCCTCCAAAGCCGGCTTGCCCAAACAGCCACCCAGAGACCCTTTGCTGCAGCTGGTCTCCCTCCAGAAGGCGTCTGGCTGCTGGGTGCTGGATCCAGATCTGGCTGCTGCACTGGGAAAGACCAGCGAGGAGGTGGAGAAGCCAAAGCCTGCATCGGTGAGTTATTGTCAAATATAATAACACAAATTAATAATGGGATTTATTTTTCAATGGACAGTATTTAAGTTTCTTTTTTTCAATTATTGTTATGTTGTTAGGAAGTCAGATTTTTCCTTTGTGCTATATCTTCTTTGTTCTTTTTGATTTAGTTTTGTATTCTTTGATTTGGTGAATCAGGTGAACCAGGACGTGTGGGCCACCATTCTGGCTCTGACCTGGCTTCATGGTTTCAAGATGGATGCTCAGGAAGAGTGGGAGCTTCTGGCTATGAAGGCTGTGTCATGGCTCCGAGCTCAGAAAGGTAAAAACCATAATAGTAAGTGTTAATCTGTTGTTTTTAACAGTGTTTGCTGGTTAAAATCATCTGTTTGCCCACATTCAGTCCGCTGATGACTTGTGTTGTGTCTGTTTTTCAGCGTCATGTGTGAAGGAGTGTGTGGAAGCAGGAAATGCTCTGTTGGGTTGCAACGTGCAGAAAGACTCCCTGGGGATCTGAGGTTTTCA